TAGGTATGAAATATTTGGATGTCCTAATCTATAATGCCATAACATGATAAGCTCATCCTTACTAGTACTAGAGGCTAAGGTTGTACAAGAGTTTTATGGTCTCTCAAGTGCATCATCTTGAAGAAGGTAGAGCCCTGCACACATCCTAGCAATGCCAATAATTCTCCCCGAGCTCAATTCTTGAAATTCACACAAGTTGGGAAAAATTTAATGACACAACATCTATTCTTCGTAAGTTTACTGATAAAAAATAGGTTGCAGCTTATATTAGGGACATGGAGGACAAAGTCGATTGTCATGTCTTTCGAAACTACGATAAAACCTGTTCCTGCCACTTTTGAAAGAGATTCATTATCAATTTTTATAGTAGAACTATCATAGCAAGGTCTATATGTGTTGAATAAGGATGCATCTCCAGTCATGTGATCTGATGCTCCTGAATCAACAATCCAAGATTGTGTATTTCCTCGTTGAACACTTAAGGCATTTAGGAAATTACCTTTTTGTGCTAGTAAACTAGTTCCAAAGATTGCAGACTTGTTTTGAATGGTTTGTTGGAGCATCACCTCTCTGTGACTTTCCTCATGTCATACCTCTGCAGAAGAAGAGTTCTCACTTCTGCTAGCCATAACGGAAACTAGTGTGGCTACAGTCTAATAGTTCAGGCCGATTTGCTCTGATAGCATGTAGAAAACTTAAAGAACAATTGTTCTTTTTTTTTTCTTATTCTATATACAATGAAGGAGTACATCTAAATAAATAAGAACATTGAAGTTCCTTATTAAGAAACAACTTACATGAAACAAAAAACAAAAAATAATAAAAGGAAAGAGAATTATTCTATTCTAAAATGGAAACAAATTCCTAAAAACTTGACAATCAGAATAGTTGACTAAATTAGATGAGTAAATGAGAAATATTCCCAAATTAAATTATGAAATCAAGCTGTATTAATGTAGGAGAATCAGATTTCTACATACACTAATCTTGAAGTGAAAACCCAGATCAATAATAATAGAATTTTGAGAAACATTCTGTAATTGACTCTAGTTTCTCACCTATATAAACAAAGAATTTCTACGCAAATTAGGAATGAAAAGTTAAATCACTTCGGCCACCGTATACTCCATCGGAAAATTTAAATCTTCAACAGAAAAGTTAAAAAAAAAACCCAAAAAACTCAAAAAAATTCCCAAAAAACTCAGTAAAACAAAAATTTCCTAGAAATTCAAATATTCAAGCAACTAACCCAGAATTTTACAGAAAACAAAAACCCATAAACAAAAATTTCTAACAAAATCCTAACAAACCCAACCTGATTCCACAAACCAAAAGAAGAAACTAAAAAAAAAATTCAAAACCCAAAGAATTAGCTTATGAATTTGCCTACAGATTTTTTCCCCCTTCCCATTTCTGCGTGGTTGATTATGTTCTTATAGTAATTTAATCCCTTTGATTCTAAAAAATAAATTCATTAATCTGATTTGTTTTTATTTTCCTATGACTTTCCATTTTCATTGAAGATTGGGATCCTCGTGAATCAAATCAAATCCCAAAATATCCACTTTGTTTCTTTTTCTACTTTCCTTTATTTTTTTTTTACTTTTGACTTTTTTTTAACCAAAATAAATCACAAAAATCGAATCTAAATTAAAATCAAAATTAAAATCAAGATTAAAATTGAAATCAAATTACAATTAAAAATTTTGGACTTTTATCTTATTGGACCCAAAGCTTTCCAATTGGGCCCACTTTACGGTTGAAGCTCACTTTTATTCGGAAAATTTTTTTTGTATAAAATGGGTTGTCTACAATAGGAGCTGTCATGAGAGGGTTTAGCCTTAATCTTTAGATTAGTTTCCTTAATCTTTACATTAATTTTGAATTCTCAATTTGTTCTTGTCTCCACTCTTATCCCTCCAAAGAATCTACTTGTTGATGTGATTGTGTGGCAAGATATAATTGTTATGAACGCATTAGTTTATTTACGTTAGACTTACACTAATCTTGGAGTGAAAACCCAGATCAATAATAATAGAATTTTGGGAAACATTCTATAATTGACCCTAGTTTCTCACCTATATAAACAAAGAATTTCTAGGCAAATAAGGAATGAAGGAAATTTCTTACTCTGACATGTTGCATAATTTTGACATATTTGGCATATAAAAATGAAAGCTCAGAAATTGTGCATGATATGCATTCATGCTTTATCAGCAGAGTGATAATTTTGTGCTTAGTTCTGTTTTTTTTTTTTTCGGTTAATATATTTATGTTATGTTAAGAACTAGCTTGTTCTTTCAGTAAATATGGCAATTCATAATAATTGTATTGTATTTTTTTTCCACAGGATGGTGATCATACTGCTGATGATGATCATGATGATGATGGGCCTCGTGAGGGCGATTTGGAGGGAAGAGTTGAGAAATACATTGGTGTAAAAGTGAAGGTATGTATATTTATACAGTATGATTTATTTTCTTTAACAAAAGTGAGATGGTTAACTATTGAAGCTTGTTATTTGCCTGACCTTGCTGGGCTATGGTGGAGCATGTGTTGATTTGTAATACTCTGTAGAAATATTACTGGTCTAGTCCTTATTTGTTAATTTTTATTCTTAATTTGGAAAGGTGGTAGAAGTTTAAACCTGAAAGTTAAGCTTGAAAATAGGCTATTGCATAGAACTCCAAGATTTTAAAGCTGAATCTGGAAGCATATTCAATTTCCTCTTGTTCATTCGGATATAATGTTTCTAAGCCTTGTTATTCATGTGGTAGGTTTCTTTTACTGGGCAAGGTGAGACACAATCAATGAAGCAATTGTCTGGAGGACAGAAAACTGTTGTAGTCCTCACGTTAATTTTTGCAATTCAACGATGTGATCCTGCACCCTTTTATCTGGTTGATGAGATAGATGCAGCGCTTGATCCTCAGTACCGGACTGCTGTTGGAAGTATCCTATTTCACACATATAGATAGTTAGTTCTGTCAATGATTAATATTTGTTTATGGTTCCATTTTTAAATTCATCTCTCTAAATTTCCTTCTTTATAATTATGCTCCCTCACAAACTCTTCATTTTCAGATGTGATACTTGCAGAAAGGTGAAAATCTGGGGATAGGGGCAAATCTGTGACCATCGCAGACCCTAGAATGAGGAACTTGAATCATAGAGTTATCTTGTTAATAGACATGCAGTTTAGAGCAAGAGATTTTGGCATTTTGCTCCTTTTCTTTAGCATCAATTGCTCCAATAAAAACCTTTTGCTCCGTGAAATCCCATACGTAAACAACTATCTGTCGTTGATTAACTCCTACTGGAAACTGTCTACAGGAGGAGTTGAATCCAAACTGTCGTTTGGAGAAAAGGTGGCAATTTGGCAGGTTGGGTTGGGTTTCGGTTTGGTTGGCATCATTATATGTTCAGGTTGCTTGCGTATTGTGTTTCGGTTGAGGTCAATTTACTGGCTGAAGCCTTTCCATAGGTTAAGTCAGGTCAATTGGATCAATGCATTTTGACTGCAGTGTGCATTCCTGTGGAACAGTGCATTTTTCTTATTTCTTTTAGTAATTAAACAAAAGAAATTATCATACACAATAGACTGCATAGTTGCGATTTTATGCAGCTGCAATTTTATGCCCAGGTAGGGAAGAATACACGATGAAAAAGGGCCTGCAAAATTGATTTGTTTCAGATGTTGGAGAATGTTAATTTGCCTTAATAATCTCTTCTATTAGCTGATTAAGTGGTTGTTATTAATTTTCATTTGCCACAGTTTCTTTGTTTTGTTTCTTAGCATTTGGTTTGTCTTGTATAATTCTTGAATATGTGAATATTCTAAATGTAAGTAGAAATGAGTAACTTTTGAATTGCTGTTGGATCCTTAATTACTTGTTGTTTAGATATGATTCGTCGTCTTGCGGACATGGCAAATACACAATTTATAACAACCACATTTCGGCCACAGCTTGTTAAAGTTGCTGATCAGGTTTATGGTGTGACGCATAAAAACAAGGTGAGCCGTGTTAACATTGTCTCCAAGGAAGATGCTTTAGATTTAATCGAGCATGACCAGTCTCACAATACTGATAAAGGTTTGGAACCCTTGTTATTTTATACGTTTACAAAGTTAGCATAAGCTTCTATTTTAGTGATCAGTCAATCCCACCTCCCAATTTGTGCCATCCCTTTACCCCAAGTTCCTTTTCCCCTTCTTTCTTTATTTTCTTTATGCAGTTCTATGTTTTGGGCTGACGGTTGTTTGTTGGCATGTGCAGAAAAGTCCCATGAAAAGAATACCAGCTGTTTGGACGCTGTGGAATATTTAATTGTCGGTTCAAGTCTCGATTATATAATTCGTATAATATTAGGTTTTCATGTGAAATCTTAGGGCTGTACAGATCTAAACAATTCAACATTAAGTTATTTTCCCTCTTATTTGTGTCACCCCAAGCGCTCCAAGGAGGAGTAGGCAAAATACTTCAATTTCACATCAGATATGAAAAATGGGTCATTAGGATATAAAAATGATGACGTTGCACATCCTGATTAGTCGATTTTGAAGAGAGCGAGTAATGACTTGGCATAACAAGTGGTATCATAGCAATTTCTGGACCTTTGACTCATGTTAAATGCTTCGAGAGACGGTAAGTAGGATGGTCAGCTTTCGTGATAAAAATGTCACGAGATTGGATGAAGAAGAATGTTATGTCAAATTTTTAAAAAAAGAGTAGGTAGGGTATTTCAATCTCACATCGTGCATAAAAGGGTGATCATTGGGTATAAAAACGTTAATGCTATACATTCTGATAAATCAGTTTTGAGAGGAGGATAATAGCCACGCGATATTTGCAGGTAGCTAGCTTATTACTAATGTGAATGGTAATATATGGAGCCATAGGCACTCAACTTGTTAGCATTGAATCGTTTTTAGTGGTCAGTGTTAAAATGAAGTTGGCAAGTTATCTTTTAATCAAAATTTGAAAGTCATGTTCATTTTCATTTGATCTTAGAAATTGTGTATAGTTGGATAAAAATAACATTACACTTTTAAGAAATTTTATGGTAAGATGTTCTAAGCCACAGAATCACAAAGTTATTTGATTCTATCTTTATAGGGTTGGCAAAAATTGATACATTTGCATGTTAGGAAGTAGTAAAAAGGGCAAAATACAACTCTTAAGTAAATCATTTGGTAACATTGAGACAAAATTCTTGACCATGTATCACAACAAGAGAAAATTTGAAAAGAGAATTGTCATCCATCTGAAACGCTTCTCGACAGCTTTGATAGATGATTATTGTGAACTCCTCAATGGAGAGGGAAAATAATCTAAGATGTTTTAAACCATGTAAAAATAGGAAAAAAGGTCAAATATAAAGTAGCAAGCTCTAAAGTGATCTTAGTTTTGCTTGGTAGGTTTAGTAGTCAAACCAAATCCAAATGGAAAGAGAGGGTCGTAATCTGAATCACCAACATTCATAGGGAGCTGGTCAACAGTCTTGAACCAGGTCCTTGCAAGCTTGCCAGTGAATCCATAGTCACCAAACAGAACATCAGCAACACCTTGGCCCTCAGTCCCTGGAAGCCAAGCAGCTACAAGTGCATCAATTGATGAGAGATAGGGCTGTATGACAACTGGCCGGCCAGAGATGACAACAACAACGCATTTCACAGCTCCACAAACATTGTAAATAGTGCTTGGACCAGGCTCGGATATTGTAAGATTCAGGCTGTCACCATTTGTTTCTGCATACGAGGGTTCTCCCACAACGACAACGGCATAAGAGAATTTGTTGGACTTCACAAAGTCTGCATCAGGGTTCTCACTGTAGACAACTTGAGTGGTTGGATCTACCGTATTTTTAATAGCATGGAGGATAGTGGTACCTGTTCATGCCGATTGTATTCGGTCAAATCATTCTAAATTAACATTAGATGACACCCTGGCTATTAAGTATTGGTTCCAGAAAGTGTTTCTTCCATGATACCCAAGACCAAAAGACATAGAACATAAGGGTAACTAGAATACTTACAAAGGCAACAACAAAACTTAAATGCTTTTCTGGGTCAATTTATTTGTCAAGACCTAAAGGCCAACAAAACCTATATGTTCGAATTGTTTAAAGTGTGAATTCAAACATACCACTGGTGAGATTATTGCCTTGAAGACCCTGCCATGTGATAGTCCAGCCTCCACATTGATAGCCCAAGTCATCAGCATGACTTCCAGCAACTAGTATCTTAGTTGTTTCCTTTGGAAGAGGTAACAATGGCTTATCAGCAGACTCGCCATTCTTCAGTAGGACAAGAGATTTCCTTACAGCTTCCCTTGCTAACTCCCTGTGTTTCTGTTCAAAGCATGTTTTCATTTAGTAAAGTCTATTTGTTTCCTTCTTCACCCATAAAAGATGATAAATGAAGAGCATCCAAGTCCATTTATAACAACAAAATAGATTCAATGTACCTGATTCCCAAGTTGGTCAACCAGGCTATTATCAGCCATTGGGCTCTCAAAGAGACCCATGACAAATTTAACCCTCAATATCCTCTTTACAGCATCATCAATCCTGCTCATGGGAATGATATTGTGCTTAACCTGATAGGTTAGGTCATCAATGAACTCTGTGAAGTTATAAGGAACCATGACCTGCAAAACACCCAGAGATTGCATTAGAAAACAATGAGGGAGAAAGGTGAATATAAGAATATTAAAATTCAACTCATCAAAAGTACCATATGCTAAATAAAAATTGGTAAAATGATGGCATCAAATCTTTTAATTGTATGAAATATATAATAGTACTAAATGACTAACCATATCAATCCCAGCACCAACTCCAACTTCTACAGAATACGAGTAGTTAGCATGCGGAGGAGAGGTAATCCTATCAAGACCCTGCCAATCTGTAATAACAAAGCCCTGAAATACACGCAAAGAGATGTATAAAACCATATGCTTGATACTGATTTTAGTGACTAGAGAGAAATTTAGTTCAAGTCATTTTTGTTACCCTGAACTTAAGCTTGTTTTTCAGTAACCCTGTCACCAGTTCACGATTAGCATGCATCTTTTTCCCATTCCAGCTAGAATAGGATACCATAATTGTTGCAACACCCTTTCTAATAGAGTTAAGATATGCAGGCAAGTGGATGCCGAGTAATCCATTCAAGCTAATCGCAGCATTATTCTCATTCATGCCCTTTGTCGTACCTCCATCTCCCAAATAGTGCTTAGCACAGGCTGCCACCTTTTTCCTAGATAAAGAAATTAATTGATTAAGGGGAATTCTTACTTTCAAAGTTAAAAATCGACACTTAATCCGACCAATTTGAGTAATTACTACATGCCTAATTTGAAAATGTACATTTGGAGAAACTACAAATCTTCATAACTATTTTAACATGATACTTTTCTTGCCAGCTGTGGACTTCAGCAGCTATCGATATGCTGAATCAGGTAAAGTGGTAAAGGAAAAAAGGAATAAATGTGTAAAACTAGAAAATCCATAAAGCTTGAATATATTGCTTGAGTTTCACCCTGCCTTCTGCATAAAGCACTAGATGGCTAACCACTACAGCAAAATGTTATACATCCTACAAATTGGACACTTTCTAAGCAGCAAATCAGATGATGTAATCTTACCTAACTAACAGGATATGATATTGAAGAGCTTAGTGGGCCTAGTACTTTGCTTTCATTATTCAAGTCATGTTTTATACTTAGATGACTAAATGGCCCACAAAGAAAGCCTGCCCCATGATTACACGTAAAGATGTCCAAAAGATTTAAGAAAAATTTGCCATCATAAGTAATATTTCCCAAAGTTGGAACACTAGACTTATAAGCGGCAGTTTATAGTAAAGACTCTTACTTTCCAGCAACAAAGGGAACACCCCTTTTAGAATTGGCAGGGAGATCTCCCTGTAAACCAGGTATAATCTCAGTCATTAATTGAACAATCTTATGATCCTCACTGTAGCTCTCATAGCATCGACCCCACCTTGGATCCCTGCAAACCTGTGAAAGATTGACAGCATAGGTAAAAACAAACAAACAAACAAACAATTAGTACACATGGTATAGGCTTTCACAATATTCAGCATTCAAGCATGTTCCTGTCTTTAATTACCGCAATGCATGGAGCAAAAACATAGGGAATTCCTGTAGCTCTAACTTCAAGAGCAGTTGCATCTCCAATCTTCTTGATAAGTTGAGGATCCCTGCAGAGTAAATAAAATGACCTAATGATTCCAACAAAGACTTGTAGAACCATTGATTTGACTTTAGTTGACGGGCAAAGCAGAAATAAAGCACTCCAAGACTCTCCATTCTAACTTCAAACAATTTTTCCACCTGTTTGATTGATAGGGTATGAAGACTCAAATGTCACTTTAAACTTTCTCATTATCATTCTGGAAATTCCCAGAACATTGTCCATTTTCTTGATATTTCAAAAAGCAGAGTAGCATAGACTACCAAATTCATGGGAACATCATTTGATTATTTTAAAGACAAGGCAATTCGCAATTGTTCAATGCGGGTCAAATGATTTGAATCTCAACGCAGCATTCCACTTCAATAATAAGGCACTTAACACAAGATATGATAACAGCTTTCTTTAAAAACAAATCTAAACTGAAAATCCATACCTCAGGCAAAATGTATAACCTTTAATAATAATAATAAAAAAAAAAAATTCAAAGAACATGTTTGCCTTAAGATATATAACTTGCCTGGTCACTCCAAGACCAACGTTATGAGGAAAAATAGTGGCCTTGTACACATTATTGTGGCCGTGAACTGCATCAATCCCATATATCATTGGAATCCCAAGACGGGTGGATAAAGACCCCTTTTGGATTGAGTTCACCATATTAATCCAAGTTTGAGGAGTAGCTTTTGCGGCTGGTACACTCCCTCCACCACTCAAAACACTCCCTATACACATGGATCCTCCAATTACAAGACAACTCATTTTTTATAAAGAACAGCATTAAGCAAGACATCAATTTAGATAAATTTAAAAAAATAAAAGATTATTGTCTTACACACTGGTAGTAAAGTTAAAAAAAATTTTATTCAATCAAATGTCTTTTTATTTGCTTATTACATGTCTATTTAACTATAAATAAGAAAATGAAAAAGTTAACATATCCAATCAAATGAATATTTGGCAAGTGTATAAATCCACTAGTAAATGGAACCCATGTAAGTACCAATTGAACAAATCCGAGTGGACTTTTCATCATATAGAAAAAACTAGGGATACAATTATAGAACAAATAAGATATAAACCATTTAAATAAAACATAAAAAAACTGAAATGTGGACATACTAAAGATTGTTAAAAGATGATTTGGTTTATACCAATAAAGTACTTCTTCATCACATCAGGGGTAGCAACACTGCGCTCGATCTGAGTCATTTGGCCAATTTTTTCAGCTAAAGTCATCCTACTCATTAAGTCTTTGATTCTAACACCCACCGGCTGCTTTGGGTCTTTGTATTTCAAATATGTTGCTTCTGTAACAGCTGCTAAACAGCATAACAGTAGAAATCCCAACTTGGGTATTGAAAATCTACCCATTTTTTCGAATTCCCAGATCAAGCTTTTAATCTGAAAGTTTAAACATTTAAAAAATAGTTAGGTAGTATGTAAGCTCAAAAGTGAAACTTTAGCTTAAAAAATTTGTGAAAATATTTTTTAGATAGATAAATCAGTAAATGGAATGAAACAGTGAAGATTAAGAACATAAAAATGGCAGAAAACTAAAAAAATCAAATGTGAAAGCTAAAAACTCAAATGCATTGAAGCATTTTCATTGCCATCACATAAATTAAAAAGTAAATGGCTGAAAAAAAAAAAAGAGAAAAAAAATCCAAAAAGAAAAGATTCCAAAAAAGAGGATTGAGCTGAAGCCCAGCAGCAGAACGATGAAGAAGCATGCAAATGTTATATCGGTTGAAGCTGTAACACAGAAAAATTGGTTTGAACCTTTGAACTTACATTGTTGAAAATTGGAACTATTGGCTGAGAAACTACAGAGAAAGATAAAGAGAGAGATTGATGAAGATATTTGCAGTGTTGATGACACAATTTGTGGCGATGCTGAGACTGAAAGTGGGGGCATCTATTTATAGAAACTCTGCTCCCCCATTATCTCATATTATTACTTTCTTCTTCTGCTTGTCCGGTAGTTCTGTAGAATAAACGGCACCTGGTTTTGCTATTGAACCTCAGATATTAAAATACATTATTTATGCACGAATTAATCATATAAAATCATATTTAAACATTTAATAAATCTAAAGTTGAAAATTTATTATCATTTAAAAAAACACGCTTTAAAACTTTGAATACAATGATGAGATGTTTTGATAGTTCTCTTTGATGCTTGCAATCTTTATACTCAAGATAAAAATGATTAATTTTAGCTTCTATTTCCTATTTTCTCTCATTTATGAATCAATTGATGTTGTTATGAACATGAAAAACTATCGTTCACCTTGTCTTTTAATTTTCTACTTTTCTTCCTCTTAAATAAAAAATTATACTTTTTTTCTTCACGTATTCTTCCCCTCTTTTCTCTTTTCTTTGTTTTTTTTTTTTTAATCAAACACAATGTACTAGTAAAGAAAGTAGCCTGACGCGTCTGCTATGGGTTTTGACCGACCTAATTTTTTAAGGTCGTTTTTTTTTAAATCGGATACCCGATTGGGTTGGGTCAGAAAAAATTAAGGTTGAGATGATATTGGATTTTAGATAAATTTGATTTTATTTAATTTGATATATAAATAAAAAATTATTTTTTTTAATTAATTAATTTTTTATTTATATATATAATTTTATATTTATATTAAAAATATTTTATATTTTTAAAAAATAAATATTTTATTAATTTTGAATTGAATCGAATTTAAATATAAATTTTTTTTTAAAATAAGATCAAATTAAATTAAAATATTATATATAATCAAACCAAATTTAAAACGAGTTAAAATTTTTTTTCGATTGGATCTGTTATCTTCCATATATATTAATAAAAAAAATATCAAACCTTTATTCAAATTCCCTTTTTTAGATTATTTTTTAATTAAAATTTGAAATTGAAGGTCAAATTAAAAGTTTGAACTTTTTTGGTATAATATACTTTTTGTTGGGCACAACATGCGCAAATTACGTGTATGATGCACCAACAGGCAACAGAAAACGTGGGTCATCCTTAAATTCCTCCATTGCTAAAAAAAAAAAAAAAAAAAAAAAAAAAACCTTGCTACCTCAGCTTGCTTAGAAAATGAAACAAGTTCTCAACACTCAACTTTATCATGTCCAATGTCTTACCCTTAACAATCACAAAAGTTGGCCATTAATAATAGTCTTTTCGGATGCGTGTTAAAAAGGAATTCCATCATGTTTAGTTGTCATTTCTTGACTAAATCTTGGAGGGTTTTATCGTTTCGCATTCATGATACGAGAAAAGTCTTTCCACCGCACATTTAAATTAAAAAAAAAAAAGGATTTTGCAGTTATTTTTTATCAAAAATTGCTAAAAAATTATTTAATAGATTTTTTTTTTATCACGACAACGACAATCATAAATTCCATATATTACAAAATGAAATGTAATTAAAAATAGCTATGATAATTGGTATAGATCTCTCACTCATCATTTTTTTTTTAAAGAAAATTTAAGAGTAGATAAATTATTAAATTTTTTATATTAAAATAAAATATATTATATTTAATAATTTAAAATAAATAATTATAAATTATACATTCAAAAAAATTTTAACAATGATTATCCGTAAAATTTAAATTCAAAATTTTTTTATAAAAAAGGATAGAGTCTAAAACCAACCGCTTGTTTAAACTTATTGTTTAAACGTGTGGAATGCGTCCAGACCGCCACTGAAAGTGGGGATCTGCTCACTTTTTCTCATTGAAGAAAGAAGAAGAGGGCCTCAGCGTCACATTATTTACTTTAATTTGTGTTAGGATAGGCTCATCTTGACTTTTATTTTGTTTTGGAAAATGACATTCTAACAGGAATTATATTTTATATCATTAAAAATAAAAAACTTAGGTACAAATTCTCTTATTTATTAGCTACACGTTAATTAAATTTTTTATATTTAAAGTTATTAAGACTTCAATTCTAATTATTAAAATTATTTCACTAATAAACTACTCGATTGTTGGCACATATTAATTAATTTTAGTAATTAGGATTATCAAGAAATTTTTTATTTAAAATTTGTTGGAAAATTATATTAAAAAAAGGCTTAATTGAGTGTTACACATTAAGGACATAAATGCTATAGACTTCAACATCTTAACATTGATATAATTATTTCCAATTGCTTGTGACTATTTTTTTAATTTTATAAAATTAAAAAAAAAGGGGAGATCTTGGTCCTTAGGTTTGAAAAAAAGAGAAATAATGAAAATTATATTGTAATGACTTATCTATTATAATGAGGCTTAAAGCCTATTTATATAAAGATAAAATTGTATAAAATAAAAAAATACAATCAATAGAAATAATGACAAAATTAATTCCTATAATAAACTAAATTAATATCTAATATTTTTTAAATTAATATCAAATCAATCTAGAATATTACCATAATATTATTAGAATATTATTGATACCATTTTGCAAACTCAATATGGTAGTGTAGAAGCTAACTTGGGTTTGAAAACTTAGATAAGAAATTAACCAGGTAGATGTGATTTAGTGAAAATATCTATTTTTTTATCAGCACTGGTAACAAGAATAAGTCGATGAGTTTAAGTAAACAGATGGTGACGGATGAAGTGACAATTAATTTCAATATATTTAGTACACTCATGAAAAATATCATTGTGAGCTATTTGAATAACACTTTGACTATCACAAAATATAGGTGTTCAAGAGTGATGAGAAATACCTATATTCTGAAGTAGCCATCGTAACTATAGAAGTTTTGATGTGGCATCTGTAAGAGCTCGATACTTAGCTTCAATGCTAGAGTGAGTCACCACAGTTTATTTTTTACTTTGCCAAGAAATAAGAGAAGAACAAAAAAAAAAAAAACAGTAGCCTGTGGTAAATGACGATCAATAAGATCTTCTGGCCAATCAATATTACAATAACAACGCAAGTCCAAAAAGGAACTAGAGGAAAAATTCAAAGCATGAAACATAGTACCCTTGACATATTGTAGGATTCAAAGGACCACAACAAAATGAGTAGATTAAAGAGTAGACAAAAATTGACTAACCAGATGAATAGCATAGGCAATGTCTGGATGAGTAATTGTCAAGTATACGAGACTACCCACTAAAGTTTGATAAAAAAAAAGATCTAAAAGTGGTATACCATCAGAAGGAGAAAGTTTTAAATTCTGTTCAAATGGTGATGATGCAATCTTATTATTAGTTAAACCTGTTCAAGCAATAAGATCAAAAGCATACTTTGTTTGAGACAAATGTAAGTCAGTAGAATCATTGGTGACTTCAAAGCCTAAAAAATAACTCAAAAGACCAAGATATTTTATCTCAAACTTAGAATGAAGAAAAGTTTTCAGATCTTGAATACCATTTGCATCATTACTTATAATGATCATGTCACCCACATAAAGTAAGAGAAAAGTAGTATCATTTTCATTAGTTTGAGTAAAAAGAGTAGAATCATGATTACTATATGTAAAATCGAGTTGTGCAATAATAGTACTAAACTTTGAGAACTAAGCTCTAGGGGCTTGCTTAAAACCATATAGAGCACATTAAAGATGACAAACTATGTTAATAGGTACAGACTAACTAAGAGGTAACTTCATATAGATTTTCTCAGCAAGATCATCATTCAAGAATGCATTTTTAACATCTATTTGAAAGGTTGGCCATTTTTTAGCTATAGCAACAGCTAATAGTAAATGAACAGATGTGAGACGTGCAATTAGAGTAAAAGTCTCTTCATAGTCAATGCCAAATTCTTGTGTAAATCCTCAAGCAATAAGATGAGCTTTGTAACATTTCACTGACCCATTAGATCTAGTCTTGATCTTGTATACCTACTTACAGTCAATCGCTAACTTATCAGAAGGTCGTTTAATAATATCTTAAGTATTAGTTTTCTCAAGAGCCCGAAACTCTTCTATCATTGCTTGCTGCCATATAGGATCGAGATAGCTTCATGAAAATTATGAGGTTTATGTAATGCGGCTAAAGAAAAATAATAGTGAAAATTACGAAGTTGAGTGTTAGGCTCCTCTACTCAGGTGGAACCACTAAATGGAGATGGTATGTATGGAAAAGGGACAACTGTATCAACAGAAGCCTTAGTCAGATCAGATATAGTAGGAGTGAAAGATGACGGATCATTGTTTGAGTCAGAAGTACCTATAATAGTCCCTTCATTTGAAGAAAAATCAAAAGATGAATTTGTAAAAATACATGGAGAAAAACATGGTGAATGTAATGAGGACACAATAATGAACTTTTTATGTTCTAAAAAAACTACATGTTTTGAGATGCGAAGATATTTAGACACTGAATAATAACACTTACACCTTTTGTGTTCTAAACCATTATCTAAAAAATAACACAATTTTACTCTAGGTTCAAGTTTAGTCCTTTCATGAATAGGAAGTAGAACAAAGTAAGTACATCTAAAAACTTTGAAAGAATGATAATAAAATGCCTTATTGTGTAGACACTTATAAGGAGACTGTATGCCTAATACTAGTGTGAGAACGTGATTAATAGTGTAACAATAATAAGAATAGCTTTAGCCTAAAAATGTTTAGGAAAGAAAAAAAAATGAGAAGGGCATGTCCTATGTTAAGAATATGATGATGTTTTCCTTCTGCTCGACCATTTTGTTGTGAAAGTAAGACCTATAAGAAAGAGTAATATTATTTTTTAACAAGTTACAAAACTCAATTTCTATATATTCAACAACATTGTCAAACCTAAAAATTGTTATTTTTCTAGAAAATTAAGTTTGTATCATGTTATTGAATTCACGAAAAAATAGATAAAACTTTAGTTTTTTATTTGAATAAATATATCCAAGTATAATAAGAGAAGTCATCAATAAATATGACAAAGTAACATGAACCTCCTAAGGTTGATGTGAGAGTTGGGCCTCAAATATCAGAATAAACTAAATCAAAATGAGCAAATGAGATAGAATCACATTTATTAAAAGATAAAGCACTTTGTTTTCCAAGTTGATAAGACAAACAATAAAAAATATCATGAGAAACATTACTTAAGACACCAGTGGAAGTAAATGACTTTATTCGAGAAATAGATGTATGTCATAGCTTAGAATACCATAAATCTAAAAAAACTAAAAAGTTGGTTATAGCAACAGTAAGCAAATGTTGTGAAATTTTTAAAGTTTCAAGCTCAAATAGTATTCCAACCTTATGTCTTGTCCCAACTTTCTGACCTATTTGAGAATCCTGAACAATACAGTCATATCGTTGTGAAAAATGTAAATCAATATCAAGGTCACAAAGTTGGCCAACAGAAAGCAAATTTATGGCAAGATTAGGAACAAGGTAAGTGTTAGATATATATAGTTTTGAGGTTTCAATATTACCAATGTGATTAGCTTTTAAGACAGATCCATTTGTTGTTTTAATGATTGGACCATTAGGTACAGGTATCTTACTTTTGAATAAAAAAAGATCAGTAATCATATGATTTTCACAGGCAGTATCAAACAACCAAACATTTTTTGATATGACAGCAGACATGACAGGAATATAAGATCGAGATAATATTTAATTGAACAAAGTTTAAAGATCAGTGGTGGAAATTGTAATGGCCTCAAAAGAAGACTCAAAAGTATTTGATTCAGTGGTTGTTCTCGCAGTAGTCTTGTTAGTGCAAGGATTATGAATTAGACTATTGTTATAATCATATTTAGCTCTACATTTTTTAATAGGATGATTGGTTTTCTCACATCGTGAACAAGATTTATGAAAAGTAAAGCTAGTACTTTTTTGAAGAGTAGCAACAATAATAGTATCAACACTATGAGTCTAACTCATACCCAACCGAGTTTCCTCAGATATCAATTTCTTAATAGCATTATCCATAATTGGTAAGGGATGTCAACATAAAAGTGAAGATTTGGTATTCTTAAATTCATCTCGAAGTGTTATTAGAAATTGAATAAGACAAATTTGATTTCGATAAGTAATTAAATTACCAACATCACTTTCATTTTTGAATTTGACTCAAAATTTTCAAGCATGTCCTATAAATGTTGCATTTTAGAATGAAAATCATTAATTGACTGACTTGGTTCTTAACGAAGGTGAGATAAAGTGATCAAAATATGATATTGATGAACAAATGTAGTAGAGTTGTACCATGTGACAAGGAAATTTCAAGCATCTTTAGCCAGTTCAAATCATCCAAAATATACATTAATAGAAGAAACAATGGTGTTAGTGAACCATGTTAGAATTCGATGATTCTTACTTTCCTATTCCTCTAACCGATCTACAAATTTATCATCGGATTTTTTTTTTTATTGCTTTACATTCTCCAATATTGCTTTAATTAATGGAAATTGGTTGTACATTTTCTCATTGAATACTTGTCATTAAGGTTTTGAAAAAAAATAGAGATTTGAAAAGTTATGAGTATTGATATAAAAGATAAATCTTGAAGATGGGAAAAAAAACCCAAAAAATTAAAGCGTCGAAGCAAAAAAAAATTTTAAAAGGAGAATAAACCAAAGATGATAATAAACAAATATTAATTATTCTAAGGTGATTCACCTTCGGAACGAACCATAAAATCACTTTGATAACATGAAAAAAGACAAAATGATGAAAACTTTATTGTAATGACTTGTCTATTACAATAAAATTTAAAGCTTATTTATATAGAGATAAAATATTACAAAATAAAAAAAACAATCAATAGAAATAATGACTAAATTAATTCTTATAATAAACTAAATCAATATATAATATTTTCTAAATTAATATAAAATCAATCTAGAATATTTTTGAAATATTATTAAAATAATATCATCAATTTAAAATATTACCAAAATATTATTAGAATATCATTGACAAGATTGTCATCCCTATCATAGCGTATTTGAATTAATAAAAATTATTAATATAGACAAATAATTATTCAAAACAAAATCAACTTAGCTAGTAGCTATAGCATGTAAATTTGTCACAACTTGCTCGATTATTTTTGCCCACCTTTAAATTGAGACAAATATTTTTCATTACTTTTATACAGTTTCACCTTTTTACTTAGTCCACATAACATGATTATTTTAAAAGATTAAATGTAAAGAGATTAGCTTTTTTTTTTTTTTTTAGCATTTGAGATTATTAGAGTTTAAACTTTATTAATTAAAACTAAAAATTCAGTATTATATAGGTTACATTATTATTGATAAAGATAAACTCAATTTCATGCATGTTTTGATATAAACCTATATTTGAGTAAGTAAAAAAGTTCATTTTTAAGTAAATATGATTGTTTTAGACTGAAAAACAAATGCGTAGGTAAAAATAAGATTATCCAAAATCGATATATAATAAAGTTAGTTTATGCCATTATTGTTAAGAAAATATTTAATAAATTTAAATTTTAACATTTATAATTTTTTATATAAAATTATGATTGTAATTTTTTTATTATCAAATTATGGTTTCATTTGTAAAAAAAAAATGCATTTACTAATGACAAGAATATTCCATTGTTTCGAATTAGAAGAATTTTTTTAATAAAAAAAATGAAATTTGCTAAAGTCAAATCTTCTAATTGGCCGTTGCAATTAGACTATACTTATTTTAACAATTGTTATCGTTATGAAGTAACTTTTTCTTCTTTTTTTTTTTATTAACATTGTATAATTAATATATATATATATATATAAATTCTATAAAAACTAAAAATAAGTAGAACAGACAGAGACATGTGAGAAAAATAGAATATTTAAAAGATAAATTCAAGTTTGCATTCTGAAATAAAAGGTGCACGTGCGGATTTCTTTTTCTATTATTTAATAATTTATTGGCAATTTGCAAGGGATTCAAAAAATATAACCGTTGTGGAACCTAATCAACGATCCACTTGGCTCCAATTTTCTAAAATTATTATAAAAATATATATTATTTTTTCTTAAATTTGATTGTATTAAATTAAAAAATATGTTCTAAAATTATAGTTTAATTAATCTTAATAATTGTTAACGATAGCAAGCAAGAATCCATTATCAATGTCATTATATCTGCTTAATTAATTAGCACTTAATGATATCATAAAAGTTATGTATAGTTAAATTTAAAAATCTAAAATATGATACGAAAAAATAATAAAAATAATACGATTTAAAATTTTATTAATAATTATATATGAAATTAATAAAATAAAAAATATATTTTATAATTCATGTTGGCGTGAATTATAATATATAATTTTATGTAAAATATTATATAAATTCATAAAATTTAATATTTTATACGATACATTCATATGAATAGTAAAAAAAAAAAAAAAAACAGACCATCAAGCCATTATCCACCTAATTTGATCCATAAAACATGAATGCATTTTTAATCAAAATATTTAGCTGTATTTGACTTTTTTATAAATATATCTCTAGTTTTATGTTAAAGTATTAAATTTTTATTTTTTTAATTTAAAAGAAAGTTCAATTTATGACAACCTTAAATATTAAAAAATAAAACTAAGAGGTTGTTATTTTGAAATTTGCTTTTTCAAAATCATTGTCCCCTTTTGCCTTGGTTCATCATCCCAGTCCAATGTTTCATGTGCTCATTACCGTGACAATCGAAAGTCAACATGAAACACCATTGCATTACCATGAAAGCATGGCCTTCAATTACCTTTTTTTTTTTTTTTTTTTTTATTGATCTTCTTTTTAGGAGTACCTTTCTTTTTAATTTCCATCTCCAGATTAGATTGAAATCTGATTTGAGAAATGAGAAAGATGCAAGTATTGTTGTTCATTTTAATGGTTTCATGACCAAATTAAGAGTTTTAAATACATAATTTAGAAAGATTAATCATTTTGAAGACCGTGAGAGGTTTTATGTACTTTGAAGTTGCATCATACGTTGAAAGGGAAAAAACGGTAAAAGGAATTTTACACCATCAATGTTAAGATTTGAGATAAACTGCTAAAAATTAAATTTTGATCATTAAAATTAAAATTTTAATACTTTATTATCAAATCTCGATATTATCTTTCTTGAGAGGATTAAAATCCAAGTATCAAATTATGGCTTTTTTCTATTTTTTTTATCTCCGTATATACCCAAAAAATGTGGGCTTGGCCTGCTTGAAAATTGGTTTCGTTTGATGTTGGAGGACCAGATGCATGGGTTTAATTCATAAAATCACAAGGCTGGCAGCAACTTGGGCCTTTGGGTGCAATGCCATTATGTCAATTGTAATGGCTAATTTCAAGTATTCAATGTTCATGCCTGCACTAACTTTTTTGGGATTAACATTGCCATTTTCTTTAAAAAAAAAAAAAGGAAAATAACAAAATATTCATGGTTTTGCCAAGGTGGGTATTTAACATTTTTGGAGGAATTGTGAATGGGTGTCTAAGGAAGAATTATGGTACATGACAGGCCAGGCCAGCTGCCAGCATGATGATAATCACATGAATGCTACTTCCACGAAGACCAAGACATTGAGCAATCGTGTCAGGGGCAAACTCAGGACATTAATTAGAACTGTAACCCAAGTTTCATCTAGATGTTACAATTCAAAAAAAAAAAAAAAGCAAATTTCCTTGATCTATATGAGAAACATATTTCACATTGTATGACTTCAACATTAATGACAATTATGACAAACAAAAGAGAGGCCAGACATGGCTAAACAACAATAATGAAATCACTGAATTACCATGAAGGCAATCCAATCTACACACAGGGCAAGCTCATCTGAATATAGAGGTTCATCACCAAATACGGATGCAGAACCTACATTCTTCCCAGGAATGTCTTCAACAGAAATAAATGCAATGACTACAACCGGTGGTGGATGTAGGAACATTGGCTTTGCATACAAAAATCTCAAAGGGCATCAGAGCTATTCTACCAAAGTGGAAAAATAATGAAGTCTGAATATTTCTTTAAGCTCAGATATGTACCTGCAGAATTAATGTCTCCGCCTCTTAGAGCTTATTTGTTCTAGCAACCTTTCCTTAAAATGTTTTGTAATAAAAATTCATTCTTTTACATGCTTCAATTCTATATAACTAGAATAAACATCAAGATTTACAAATTGCATTTATGTGTACAGGGACTTGGTTTTTATACAGAGTTTGGAGCTCTTATCTATCTTTAGATTGGAAAACCATAGTTTTGATACCCCAAGGACCCTCCTTGGACAGAATGGCTTACAGGGTGCGACTGTTGCAGTGCAGGCAGCTGTTGAACAGAACCACCTGGCACAGAAACCCAATTTTGGTCAACAGGCGCATCCATCGTGCTGCTATCAACTGTGGTAATGTCATGGATGCTCGATCTTTTCCTTTCTTTCTTCACAGAACTCTGTCGAAGAAAGTACTTCTGAGCATGGCTAGCCACCTGAGTAGGTGTTCGAGTCACCACCACATTTCTTGATATACTCCGCCAATCACCCTTGCCAAATTTATGCAACCCAATTAAAAATAACCTATGAAAATGAGGTCAAGAAATCAGTGATATCAATTGGCATGTAATATCCAAATGACAACAAAATATCAATTACATTACACCATCAAAAAAATGCTATGAACAAAATCAATCAACCAATCAATAAAATGAAAAATTTTATAAATATGCAAAATTAACCAATAAACCAGTTTTCAGCATGCGAATTTCTTAAAAACTCATCCCATGGTATCGATAAATTCAATTATTCACAGAATTCTTTATTTTTTTTTTTTAATTTTTAAAATAAAATATTGACAAATTCAAAACAAATTCAACCGCCCATTCAACATATTCACCCTACCAAACAACAGGTTTCATAAAACATTTTTAAATATAAAAAATTAAAAATACTTATGCTCTTCTTCTGTCCACGGCGTTCCCTTCTTCCTTTCATTCTCAACATGCTGTTTTGATTTCGAAGTGAAAGAGATTTGATTATCTGAATCCCAACCGGCCGACAACACAGTCGAATCATCAGCATAACTCGGAATCTCAACTCGGCCCGAGTCAATTTCGTAAACGTCATACAAAAGCATGTCATAATGCTCTTTCACTTCGCTGGATGACTTTCCAGGAACCCTCTCAGCTATCTTTTGCCACCGATCAAAACTTTCCTCCGGAAACATGACTAAGGCCTGCTCAAAAAGCTTATCATCGAGACGAGTCCACTGAGTTTGAGTTGTCAAAACCCGCGTGGATGACTGACTCAAGAACGGATTACTGTTGTTATCTTGGTACATGCCGCTTCTGCCTTTGTGGTTTCAAATGAAGTTTTTCGAGATTTTGATTTTCACTGGAAATGGCTGTTGATGTTTCGTTTCATTTGTGAAAAGGGCTTAAGATTTTGTGATGTTTTGGACTTTTCTTAGCCATTTTTACCAGCTCAGACTTTTCATTCAACACGTTTTTGTTATAATTGGAAGAAGTTTCTTTTATAAATTTAGTTTTTTTTTCTTTTTTTTTTTTAATCATAAATCCGTCTGCATACAATTATTTTTAGTTTTTTTTTTCATCAGATACTATTTTTAGTTAATTATTATGTATAAAAATACATAAAATATAAAATTTATTATATTATAATTTGTGGTAACAAATCAAACACAAAATATATTTTTTAATACTTAAAATTTTAATTTATTTTATATTTAAATATTATTTTTCATAAATTTTTTACATTAAAAATCATTAAACGTTAATTTTATAAAAATTAAAAATTTAATATTCAATAAACCAAAATAAATTTTTTAACTAATAAAAATCAAGTAGAAATTAACAATTCGAAGAATATATAGATTGGATTAATTTTATTTGATTTATTTCTGTTAAAATGAAAGCGAGTATATATATATCCTTGCATTTTCATTTTGTCATATGGTCACATAATATATTTTATTTTGTCCTTTTTCTTTAATAATTTTCCTTTTTTTTTTTTTAAATTTTAAGTTGTTTCTAGATTCTAATAGTAATGCTTTTATCAAGGTTATGAAAGGCTTTTTATTTTTCAAAGTATACATAAAAGGCTTTTTATTAGTTTTTCTAGTCAGATTTATTTATTAACCAGTAGTTTATTGGATTAATCAGTTTAGATGAATATAAAATTAATTATTAATAAATAATATGGTTTTAATTAACTCATAATAATTTTAAAATAATTTTTTTCAAATTTAATTATAGATTAATGATATTTTGGCTAAAATAAATTGATCAGATTTGAAAAGAAAATAATATAAGTATTACAGGTAAAAGATATTGAAATCAGTATCCAATTCAAAACTTTTTGTGAGTTGTTCAATTATAATAGATTTAAAAAATTATAAACGAATTTATTAATTTTATTAATAAAATAAGTGTTTAAAAAATTTTGGAGATGTTAAATTTTTTTTTTAATTTTTAATTTTAAAGACATATATAGATATTTATATATGTGGATCCATTCCTGCGTAAAATTACACTATAAATTTTCAATACTATAATAGTTTTCCATCAAACTAACAAAAAAAAGATAAATCTATAGTACGTGTGACTGTGTATTTGTATGCATGAAATGTGTGACTGTGATGAATAATCTCTTGTGGTGAGATAGCTAACCAATTATTGTTGTTTACTGTTTACATATAGATAGACTGAAATTTATCCAAGCAGCCAGCCAGCCAGCCAGCAGAATTCCCTCACTAATTTCTGCCCATTTTCGACTGGAAGAACCGTTGAATGCTATCAAACCCACATAGCTCCTTCACAACAGGCATGGTGGCAGGTACCTTCAACTGGAATAATGTTGACTTAGACTCATCTAGGCCACTCCATGAGAAAAGCTGTTGTCTGGCTTCTTTTATTGCTGACCTTGTAGCACTGTGAACTGAAACTACTATCAGTAGTGGCGGCTCTCCAGAAGCTGCAAAACAACAGATAAATTCTAAATTTGCTGTAAGAAATATATTCACAACCCTTTTCCATGTCCCCAACCCATAGATTGACACAAACATGATTAAAGCAGCATCTTGATTATTAGTCTAGTCCATGAAACTGGATGGAAACGTAAAATAAGACTTGCAACAGCATAGTCAATGCAGGAAGACAAATAATAAGATGTGCAAGGAGAAAATTGTTCATTGGCGTGGATGGCTGTAAAAAAATTTTTTTTTTAACGAACAGTTAACGAATAGACTCGATTTTTATTTGTTTATTAAATTTAATAAATGATAACGATAATATTTATAGAAATATAACAAAATTGCTCATATTTGAATTTTTTTGCATCCTAAACAATGCTGATTGTTGTTTGGCATAACCAAACACTTACTGGAGGTAAATGGATTAACTTGGTATGTGCGAAAGAGCAAACTTTAGCATTAAAAAGATGGCCCTACAAGCAGATTGGTCAACCAAAACAAGAATATTGTAATTATCAAGCAGAACAGTTCCACTACCAGACAAAATTAGGTAAATCAAGAGAAAAGTGACATGGATTTGATGAAAATTAACACCATGAACTTGCCTTTTTGAAGAAAGTACAAGCTTTTTATGATGTCCACTGTTTAGGATTTCAACATCAAATTGTTTGGGTATTGGTATCCACTGTGAGAATCTCATAAGTCCATGTACCATTTGCAATCACTAACCCATCCGAGTTTGTGGGGTATTCTTCAAGCATAAAGAACCCAACGCCTTGAACATAACCTCCTTCAATCCGCAAAAGATAATTGCTGCGTCTTGAATCACATAGATCCTTTTAACCAATGAACTAGCTAGAACAAATAAAAATAGAGCTGTTTCCAGGCAGGTTTTGTACACAATTCTCACTCACTGCATACGTGAACGGACAAAATTCTTTTACATAGCAACAATATGGAAAGTGGCAAAGAAATTTAGGCATTTCTCACATTGGAAAGATTTTGAGAGTTGAGAATAAAAATAGACAAGCTAAGGCTACAGAGTTATCTAAATTCATGTCATGCAAAAGAGTATTGTATTCAAAATAACCTGTCCTAAATCCACAGCAGGATTTAATCTTTGGCCATAGTGGGTCCGCAAATTTCAGATATGCCCGCATTGATAATGCATATGAACTTGGAATGAAATTGCTGTGGATAAAATATAAAGAATTTGTTTAGAACATGCAATGTACAATTATTTTCTTTTTTTGTTGGTAGGATAAATGTGAATGTACGACCATCAGGTTTGCAAAGATCTCAAAGTGTGAGAGGCATCAAAGTGAGAACAAAAATAATGTGATGTGTCACTTGTCCAAGTCTTCAAGTAGTCAAAATGCAAACATAATGAGATCAGAATATTTCTGATGGTCAGATATGTACCTCAAAAATCAACGTCTCCCATTCTATAGATTTCATTTGCTCCAGCAACTTTTCATTGAGATGGGTAAGTCTCTGAAGACCAAGACATTGTGGCAAAGTCCAATCGCTTCAGAGCTGGATTCAGATGTTGTGCTGCCAACAGTCATACCCCTAGAACTAAACTCAAGGTATCAGCTTGTTTGATCCTCACTCTCTGGAAAAGCTCTTCTGCTCCACCACATTTGACCAAACTAAGAGCATATGCGATCATCTGTTTTTCTTTTGTCCAGAGAACCTGACTCAGCTCAATTCTTCCAAACTCTGACTCAGCTTGAACTACTCTTGTAAAAGAATTCGAGGCTGTTTTATACTTGTATGTGTGGAGATTAATATTTCTGATAGAATCCACTTCGATGGAAAGGGTGGATGCTACATGTTCAATTATTGCTTCAGCAATAAATGATCCCTGTAAATCTCCAGGGCCCTCATTGCTGATCTGCTCAGAAGGTTTGTTTTGCACACTTTAATGTCAAATAGTAAAGCCCCCAATCATACTTTTCAAGTGCTCCAAGAATCTATCCAGGCATAAATAAACTTACATCCTGATAATATCCCTGCATCAAGCAATATATCAAATTTTAGGGTTGTAATCTTCCAATTAGTTTTGAATCCTACACTGTAAGTTATTTTCATTGGATACCTTCCTCCTGCCATTATGATCATGTCAGTCTTGCGGTTCATGTATATCCTGACTGGACGATGTAATTTGTAAGTAGCAAGTGCACATGCTATAGCAACCTACATTAAGTCATCTAATTAAGCGATACAAATAAGGAACTACAGAGAAGGTAGCACCAAAAGTAAGAAGCCAAAAATAAAAAAAATTAGATGGATATTATGCATAACAGAGGATCAGGAATCACTTCTACATGACTGAATAGAGGTAGACAAACCATTGAATCTACAACTAAATATGCTTAAGTTAGTATCCAATTCTGAATAATATTAGTTTTAGTAAGCTAAACATCTCTAACTCATTCACTAAGAAAAAGGAAAAGAAGATTCATTGAACCACCAAAACATATTTGGCTGCATATGAAACAATGATGGTGAAGTGAATTGATCTATCATAATGTGAATAGCAAAAGTAGCCAACAAGCCTAAAAGTCATTGTCAGTCCAAACCAACCAAACTGTAAAATTCAGAAGTTTTCAGCCCATTGATTTAATTAAAGACTTGTAGAAAAGACAATCAAGCACATGGATTAGATTCAGCCAACTATACAAAAAGCATTTTTCTATCTTATCATGTGTAAACTCAGGGAATTGATTAGAACTGTACACTATCAAGCAGTCGTCTTCATCTGGCACGGCCAGAGCAGTTTGTGTCCCCATATAGAAATAGTATTGTGACCCCAGTTTCATCTAGATGGTAGCAAGTCAACAGAAATACTAGTGAATTTCCAAGAAAAAGGTTAATCAAAGGTAGAAAATACAGCTTGTACTGTTGTTGTAGCAGGTTAATTCAGACAAAGGAAACAAACACGTATAGTAGGAGAGATTACGAAGCCCTTTACAATCAAAACCTGACGATAACATTTATCAAGGTAAGAACAAAATTATCTGATTTTGTTATAAAAAACTTGTAAAAAGTTTTTCTGATTATATTCCTGTACAGAACCTTTTTCAACGTAAGTTTTGTTTTCTTTTTCAAATTCCAAAAACCAAAAAAAGATATTTATAATCAAATTGATATCTTTTTGTATAAACAGTTAATATTTGTTCGTATAAACATAGCTATTTAATTGTATGTACAAACAACTTTCACTATCGTATGCAACTAATACGACTTATTTTGAAAATGTTCCAACATCACTTGCTGCCTATTGTCCACTGTAGGAACCTCTGAACACTATCAAGCCCACAGAGCTCCTTCACAACAGGCATGGTGGCGGGTACCTCCAACTGAAACGTTGAATTAAACTCATCTATGCCACCCCATGAATGAAGTTGTTGCCTGGCTTCTTTTATAGCTGCTCTTATAGCACAGTGAACAGAAACTG